TTCGAGGTGCCTAGACGGAGTCATATAGAGGAAGCACACTGCCGACATCGAGTATGACAGTCGCATGCTTGAGGGACTATCCCGCTCTACACGTCTCGCCTTCACTCATATTCTGATTATAGGGGACTTCAATCTCCCTAGAGTCAACTTCGCGGAACATAAGTATACTGGAGGTGAAAATTCAATTGAAGCTCGGTTCTTCAACCCTATTGAGGATTTGGGATTTTACGAAAATAGGAAGTTGGCTACTCGCTGGAGGAACAGTCAGACACGGTCGCTCTTAGACTGTTTTTACAAACGAAGAATTTCTCAATTCCGGCTTCCCTTTAGTTTTGTCAGCAAAACTGAGCTAAAATATCCCAACAACAACAGCCGCTAGAATTTCAGACGGTTGAATGCGTCAGCTTAACAAGACTATCTACAACAGGTGGATTGGGATGTTCACCATCAACTTGATGTGGATGCTGATTGGGACTTCTTACTGCACACGCTCTTATGTGCTACAAAGCAGTCAGTTCCTTAAACGGTCCTCAAATCCACATACAACCTACAATCATCAAAAACCGCACTCTTCGTTTGCTAAGCCGTAAAAGGCACTGTTGGGCAGAATACAAACGAACCAACAACAACGGCGAGTACAGGCAATACAAACATATAAGGAACATATGTACGAAGGCTATAAGAGAAGACAGGCTTCAGTACCAGCTAAAGCTCATGGATAAATTTATTTCCAATCCGAAAAGCTTACACCGTTACGCAGCCTCTCTTCGTCAAGTCAAAACTGGAGTTTCTCAATTGCTAGTTCCTAACGGCCCGACCGATAACGATGGTGGCGCCGCTAACCTTCTGGCTGAGCAATACTCCCTGACATCTCAACCAACCCACATCAACTATACTGATGAAAGCTTCATCGGCGACTGCACAGGACTTTCCGTAGTGAAACCGAGCCCTAACATGGTGTTCCGTAAACTACAATACCCAAGAACAGACACTTCTCCTGGTCCAGACATGGTCCACTCTGCTATACTGAGGGAAGCAGCTTCAATCCTGGCAACACCGCTTAGCGTGATGTTCTCACACTCGCTAAGTCAAGGCAAACTACCGGGTATTTGGAAGCTGGCTCATATCACACCAATCTTCAAAGGAGGTCGACGCAGCGAACCTTCAGGTTACCGATCGTTGGCTCTTCTCTATATACCTTCAAAAATCATGGAGTCCCTGATATACGATGGTATACACAACTATCTGCTCTCCTCAAATTTCTTCTCACCCCAGCAGCATGATTTCAGGAAGGGTTGCCCCTGTATGACGAACATGCTGACTGCAGTGGACAGATGGACAAGCATCCTTGATCACAAGGGGAAGGTGGACATCATTTACTTTGATTTCTCTAAAGCTTTTGATAGGGTTAACCACATATGTCCTATCAATAAGCTCAGACAATTGGGCATCAACCCACCCCTAATTGATTGGCTCTGTTCATATATGAAAAATCGACATCTTAAGGTGAGGGTAAATTTCAATTTGTCACAGGCTATGGAACGTCCTGGTGGGGTCCCCCAAGGCTCAGTACTAGGATCTCTCCTCTTCCTGATTTATATAAATGATCTTCCTCAACAGGTAACGTCAGACATACTGCTCTTTGCCGATGACGTGAAACTTTGGAGAGAGATACGCAACCAAGAGGACATACAGGAACTTCAGGAGGATCTGACCCGACTTCAAAGTTGGGCAGACGATGACGGACTTACCTTTAACACTTCAAAGTGTAAAGTAGTCCATCTGCGACACGTCGCGGATTACAGTTACAACTTAGAAAATTCCTCTCTAGTAGTATCCCGAGTCGAAAATATTTAGGAGTTCTGGTGCCCTACGACTTAAAGTCTTACGCCAAGTGTGACAGAAATGCCTTTCGAGCAAACATTGCACTGGTAACATTGATGCGCATTTTTGGTCAGTTTGGCGGGAGAACTTTCCACATAATCTTCAATAGTTTCATTCGTCTCCATTTAGAGTACGGAACATAGTATTCCCTCACACACTCCAAAAGGATAAGGACACTCTGGAGCGTATCCAACAGCGAGCCACGAAATCAGTTCACGGACTCAAATTCAAACCTTACGATGAGCGCCTCCAATCACTTGACCTTTACCCATTAGAGTGTAGGCGTCTTAGAGATGACCTTCTAACGGCTTACAGTATCCTTAACACACCTGGACATCCTCTTAAACACTTACTTAAGCTTAGTCCCAACACTAAGCTAAGGGGTAACACCCAGAAATTAGAGACACAACATAGTAGAACGGACTGCAGGCACAACTTTTACTCCTTAAGAGTTGTCAAATGCTGGAATTCGCTACCAGCTGAGCTAATCCAAGCAACTTCTTAGGAGTCCTTTAAGAGGCAACTTGATCTATTCTTAAGGACTAAGGATAGTATCTTCCTATGATTTACCAATTCATTTTTTTCTCTTTTATCGTTAATATACTTAGGTTCATACCTGTAGGTATTGATGATCCCCTGCTACTAGACACGGAAGCCTGTTAAGCGAAAGCTTCTTCTATTCCGTCCACAACCATTTGAATCTTTTGAACCATTTTGAACCATTGGGAATGACCCTTTGTAGGTCGCTCATGGCGCAAGGTTTCTTTGTAGTCGATCTTGGCTCACGACATTTTGCTCTCAGTTATCTGTCTGCTTTAATATAGCTGCTGTGTTGTTACTGATAGCTGTCAATCGTTTTCATTAATAAGCGTAAGTCTACTATGTGCCTGCTCAGTTGTCGGCTCACTTAGAACTCACTGTGCTTTCGTCTTCCAGCTAGAGAACCACTCTTCCAGTGCATAACATACATCCACGGTAAACGAAAATCTGCCAAAGACTATACGTCGGATGGCTGATGGAATTCGCGATTCACCCCCCGTATTTTTAGACCTAACGGTTATTAATAGGGGTCAGAAAATTATTGATGAATTAAAAAACTCAGACTTTCCTTCGAAATACGCGTATGTTTTCAAATTTCTCATATTTAGCACCCTAGACTATATGCCGCTGTTTTTACAGGCTTTCGTTCAGTTCGTCTGGCAGCTGAATGGTAATTTTAGGTCTTGTAATTGTTTCAGGATATCATCCCGTCTAAATGATCCACTTTTCATCAAGGATTTTGAAGTCGACTTTCACGTACTCCTGAGTCTGGGAGGAAACTTTGAATCGGATGTCTCGTCCTTTTTGTCAGCTGCTCGAGTTGCTTTAGGATGGGACTATGTTTGTGATCATCGGGCGCAAATTCCTTTGCTTCATCTGAGAGTAAGTATGCTAGATTGAATAGTGATCTTCAGGTGAAACCCCATGATGCACTCCATTTAAAATCCGTTTTCGTGAAATCATTCGGTCTGTCGATTCCTCTTCTAGTGACTGATGACAAGCCCCTGGAATTCCTAGTAAATACGGACACTTCTGTTGTATGCAAATTTTCCGACTCCAGGATATATACTCTGCTTCAAAAGCTTTCAGAAACCTTTCTTGAAAACTTGAAAAAAGGTAAGAAAGCACGTGATTTCTGAGTATTTCTTCATACTAGTGATCTTTCTTAGCTTTAAAATCCTTGGTATTTTGGTTCGTTGATTTACTGGGGCTATTAAAAAGTTTCCAAGAAACCAGACATCGAACATAAGCTTCCAAAATCCAATGAAATCTACTAACCTTCTGATTAGAATCTCTGTCTTGATACCGATTTTGTGGCTGTTTGGTGAACATGCATTGCTATGTCGAGATAGGCTTCCTCTCGTAGAATTATGTCCATGAAATTCCTATCCTCAAGATGACCTAAGGGGGTGTTTTACTTACGCTAATATTTAGAAAGTAGTATTTGGAGAAGAGCAAAACTGGAACCAGGAAACGTCCTCCAGTAGAAGTAGTAGTTTTAGCCGATGAAACCTTTTTACTGACTCAACACCGGGTCTAAACATTTCTCAACATGCATTTTGGACCTGAATTTCAGGAAATCAATAGTAACACTCCCAAAAACGTTTTTGTGGGTAGTCCTCCTTACGTTAGCTCTGTTTTTCGGACCTGTCGGTGTAGAAACCAGTGAGCAATAATGTTATTTCTGTGGTAGTTCTGACCTCACTTTTTTTTGGTAGGGCAACATTACTGGAGATTCAACCTAACCATGGGATTAACTTTAGTTAAGCGACCAGCACAAATTCGTCCTCGGACTCATATTTTTGCTTTTGGTCTCTCATGTCTCCAACTAAATTACCCTTATTTATGGCGTAAAAGTTCAGAATAAAAGAGCACCAAAAGCACCATATCGATTTAAAATGTTACTGTAAAGAATAAGTGTTTCATCGAATGTAGCTCAGTCAGGTTGTCACAATAAGTAGGTTTAATCGTTAGATAAAGTTATTAGCCATGGTTGTAGTACCGAAATAAATAGTGGATTTCAAAGGATATCGCCCAAATTTTGCGAACAAGACATACTGTCGCAGCTTCATAACTACATTATCGTGTTGAAAATTATGTACCTTACATTAACATTGCTAACATATGAACGATGCTGCAATATGACTAGTAACCAGTCGTTCGTACGCCAGATACATTTAAATTCAGTAGTCATGCTTTAGTTACAATGTAGTATTGAGTGCAGCAGTTTTGCTAAGTATAGTCAATATTTAATAGGCTTTCGATTAATTCATGTGGTGCACTTTCGTTCTTTTGCGTTTGGTTATGCTTCCTTGAATTGATCTTTGTTTCATATCGCATTAACTATGCTTATCGACCCAAGATACTTCGTAATATCAGTAGGAAAATGACCCAGTAAATTTTGTTTACCTTTGTGATACAACAAGTTTTTGGTTTCTTTCAATTCTATCCCATTCTTTCTAGCTGACATAAACGTCTTCGTGGTTTCTAATCCAGGCAAATTGAATTACCCTTTCACATTAGTCAGTAGCAGTAATAATGCTGAGAAAAACTCTGTTTTAATTCAACTAAATGAAATGTATTTATCCAGTCATTACATTATTAATGAATTCGACCAATCGGTTAATCATCAGTTAAAATTCTGTTTATACTCACATGATCCTCGTCTGAGAGATCCAAGTTGTGAGGTACGTTCATTGTTTCTGTCTTCTTTATACACTTACATAAAAATCGAAAAAATTCACACTACTGGATTTATTATCAAATTTCTTTACCGGCAATATATTTTTTTTGGTGGTCATTCTTGTTTGCAATGAAATATATCAACAGATTGATTAGAAATATCCAGATAAGAGAGTCAACTAGTCAGCAGTATAATGTTTGGGGATACATTTATTTGTTTCTGATCAGAATCGTGACTCCATGTTACGATTGATAAGCGATTGGGCCGCTAAATATGGCTCAAAATTTAGTCTGTTGTAGATTGCGTTTTATTAACGTGATATATCATATACGAATATCACAAACACTAAAGCTATCAGTTTACTGGAATTGTGATTGCAACTCCAAATGTAGACTTCCGTACACTGTGGGCACTAATTCGGGATTATCTTTTGTTCGTTCAAACTTTCATAGACTTAACGAACTGCAAACGGAAGCTTAGTTACTCAGTTATTTAAGATGGGTGTCTGAATTAAGTTCAACATGATCACAATGTGGATCTAAATAGCATAATTTTCACGATTATACCTACCTGAACTATTTATTTATTTAAAAGAACATTGGTGCAAGGAGGTGTCAAACAGATATGCACCACACAAATCATTCGATTTGTGTGAGGGCTGGGATACTACCTGGACTCACAGACCAAGGCAGGACTTATCCGAACACATACAAGTGATATTTAAAATAAGTTATCTTGAGTCTTAGTTGGTAGAGTTTATATATTTATTAAACTATGAACATACAGATTTTTCTGTATGCACTATTGGCCTCTGGTGATTTAGTTTTTCAACCAATGTGCTAACAATTTTTGCCGCTTTTGATAGAATCATGGGACTTGATTCTCTAATTGGCCATTGTATTTATCAACATTCATATACTTATTTTTTATCCTTGACATGGCGTTCTAGTGTTCAGTTATACGCGATTTATCAAGTAATCAACTTTCAAGATATAACACTAAATTTGTATCTTAATTTAGTGTTACTGTGACATCTCTTCTAAGGCATCAATATATACATTTTTTTGCTACTCAGATGCACTAATTATCCCATCATTATGTGTGTATACCTGAGTACAACTATTTGAACAATGGCTCAATATTTTAAATACATGACTCTAAATCCAAAATTTCCAGATTTTTACGCAGGTTTACCTACTGTACTGTAAAAAGTCCGATAATCTGTTTTACGGCAAGATATCACTCACAGTTCACAGTCCATTTAATGTATCTGTACTTAGTTATTATTTATTTATTTGAACACATAAATATTGGTACAGGGGGGCACCAAATATATATGCGCCACACAAAACAATGATAATTTGAAGAGAAGGAGAAAAAAGAAAAAAAAAGTAATGAACGTTGGGAATTATAAAAAAAAGGGAGAGAGAGAGAACAATGGTGGGGGAAACCGAAAGGTACAATCAGAAGAGATCTTTCAATTAAGGAAGATACAAACACTTTTTATGAAGAAAGTAAGAGGTTACAGCACGATCGCCACTGGCTTCTATTCTTAGCCATATCTGATAACGTCTCTAGCCACTGCGTTACACCGTCTCTCGGACCCCAACCAGGGAGTCGTGAAGGACCAACAGAAGCTAGTCCTTTGCAGCTTTCTTTCATACCACGACACCATGTCATATACTGACCACCTCTCCGCTTTTTCCAACCAGTCCCAGAGTCGGCAAATAATGCACGACGTGGAATTCTCTGGGACGAGGAATTCTCGCTTCTCGGCTCTCTGAGCTAAGATCATGTGTAGTATCTGTTCATGTGTCATTAAGGTACAAAGGACTTTTGGAAATAAATTCAATTTTGGTGGAGTTTTGTTCTCTGAGCTGGATGGTTCGGTCGTAGAGCTTTCATCGTTATTCTGGGCAACAACATTAGCAGAAACTTTACTTCTACCTGAAGTTTGTGCCGATGATGTCGTTTAGAATAACGATGTAAGCTCCTCGACCAAACCGTCAAGCTCAGAAAACAACACTAAAATCATCCACTTGAGATGTAAATCTTCATCATTTCATAAATTCAATTTGGAAATAGTTTTTATCAAACTGGTATCTGCTTGAAAACAGGTCTTTTTTTAAATGAATCACTTATCATAGAAGTATTATGATCTTCAGTCTACTATTGATTTCCAATCGAATCAAAGGATAAAGTTCAGTAAACCCATGTACGCTTTACACCTATCAGACCAATGACACGATTTGACTGACGACAAGTGACTGGTTAACTTTCGACAAAATCTCCGTTCTTATCAGCCCACCGAAATTCTCCACTTTTAACGACCAGACCAAAGCATGGCACAAACCCATGAAGTCACTGACAACTGAACTGAGCCATGTTGGTAGGTTGGGGGCCGTGAGATGATAGCAACCGATGGTTAGAGACCCTGAATGACATGACTCGAAATAGTTTGCCATGGCTCAGGTGCATCCACTCTTTGTGTTCTCCCAAATATTAATCTTCTGGATTCTTTATGTCCCTTTCTTTTTTCTCTTTCCAAATTTCACTGTATTATATTCCTTGAATAACATCTTCAAACCCTAATCATTCCGATTACTGCTTATAATCTTACTACCTCTACCACTATGGGATTTGAATCGACAATTATATCTGTATGCTAACGTGGTATGGCAATTCGAACTGATGTACGTACGTACGAAGTTCCGCGTTATTATTGACTGACTGAGGTCTGATTGTATTTCTCAAAAATAACTTGTTTCTTCGCTAGATTGTTATATTTGAGTACCTTATTATTATCTCGATTCCTCAAGTGTTTCATCTCATGTTATTAAAGTCGTGCATTTGTAGCTCAGTTAATTACTTCTGTTATCCCTCGTGGGGGCATAGGCTACTAATCAGGATTTTCCAACCAACCTGCTTCGGTTTGGGCACCCGAGCAGTATCACAGCCCTCACACATATCGAATGAGATCTGTGTGGCGCATATGTATTTGGTGCCTCCTTGTACCAATATCTATGAGTTAAGATAATAAATAAATAAATTTTCCAACAAAATCTATCTTGGGCTATCCTTCCCAGTTGTTTTCAACTGCTAATCTTTTGATGCCTGCCTCCCATTCCCAACGCAATGTGTTTTCTGGTCTTCATCTTTTCCTTTTTCTTCAGGATTCCAATTGCTTTCTCATAATCAAGGAAGTTGATGTATAGTAACGAGTTCCATTTAATTGATTGTTCAACAATAATCCGTAGTGTCGCGTTTTTTTCTGTACACGACCGTTCTTTACTGAGTCCAGCTTGTTGTTCTTGAAGTTGGGTGTCTACTGAATCTTTCATTTAATGCAACGATTACGTTGACAGTTTAAGTTCTGTATTTTAATACTCATTCTTATAACACCACCATTCACATTCCTTTTCATACTATAGGCTGTTTAGTATTGTAATATGGTTGTTCGACTCTTCTAATATTTACTTAAGCAAGTATTTTCGGATCTTTAATAATCTATAGATAATAGGATTTAAGACAGCTGTCTAGCAAATTCTAATGAAAGATATAATTTTCTCTAGTTGGATAACTGCTGTGTCATGATTAGTACATTTGATCATTAATGATAGGCGGCGATTGTTTTATTAATGCAAGTTACTAAGAATCTTAATAGGACCACTGTAAATGGAATAATCCTGAAGATTTTAACTACAAATAAAATATACGTGTCCTTAAATTCCGTATTTATTTTCTTTTTTGATAGGTATTTGAAATGTTAACAGATGTAGAATTCTATCCATTTTCCCCATTAATCAATTCACATATCACTAATGATTATAATAAAAGCGGTGATCAGAAATCTTCAACTTATATTGCTTGTAATACTAAATTGACAGATAGTTCTAATGACAGTCAGTCACAGTGTGACGTTCCTGACTGTGTGATTAATTCTCCTGAATGTCGAGAACGTTTTCTAGAACATTATGTTGGTGACTATATATTACTGTTTGATTCAGTTTCTCTTACTGAAAGACAAGGATGTCCAGTAGGAATTAATTTGTGCACTGGTGAGTCTGGTTTGTTTAACATATCTGCTGGTAGACGTGTACCACAAAGTCAAACTTGGACATTACATTGGTGAGTTAAATTTGCATATCATATTCTTGTATGTAGTTCTGTCTAAAAGTCTTATTTCATGTTTATTATAAGGTTAGAGTTTTTACTTATTGTCAGCACCATTGATCCATTTGCCTCTAGAAGTTATGTATAAAAATTGACTTATCATTTCTGTTTGTAAACCAAATTGGATTAAGTGACCACTTAACAGAATACAGGTTGAAATCATTTATCGTTCGAAAGATTTTCCCTCATTAAAATGTTTTCTTGGTTCCAGTTTATAAGAAAAGGGGAAAATCCTCTTCTGGCAACTTCTTAGGGATCATTTTAACTAATATAGTCTGTTAGTCTCAATAATACTTCAACTTTACTTATTTAAACACATAAACATTGGTATAAAAAGGCACCACAAATCAGAAAAGGGAATAGACGAGTGACGCAATATACAATAAAAACGAGTGTTACCAAATAATTTTGAACGTAATTTGACAGATTGCGAATTGAAGCTAAAATAATTCTTTCTAATGTAATCATTCGGTTTGTGTTTGGTTTATGATACTGCCCTAGCGCTCAAACCGAAACAGGTGGTTCACTTAGTAAGCCACTCCCTAAGCCTTTGATCCAAAGGTCTAATCCACAAGGAGATGGAGCGACGTTAGGAAATGTAGTCTCATGGTAACCATTGATCAACAATGGGCTCATACTCCATTTGTTCCCACAGGAACTTGGATTCTATTTGCTTCGTAGGTTTGGGACCATGGTTTTACAAGTCCCCTTGGTGGGTCCTCTGTTCTCACCAACCTTATCAAGGTTCTAGATGTTCACTTCTCATCTTCCTAATCTTGTAAACAACGCTCTTGCCACGAGAAGATAATGAGTGGAACTTCTCTGTTAGTGGTTGTATACCTGTGGCCATATGAGAACACTTCGTGAGGAGAAGCGGACTCTTTGAACCCTCGGGCGTACCAGGGCATTTGGGAGCAAAGCTGCTCCCCCTTAGGGAGGACCGAACTCCCAAACCCTGGTTTGTAAGACTAATGCTCTGACAACTGAAATATTTACGCATATGAGGGCCGTTGAGGGTCCGTTGGGTATTCACTTGTTGACTAAGTATACGCAAATGATATAGTTCTGTTTGGCGAAGACGCTGACAAATGGAGTCTTCTCGCCACTTTAAGCAACAAGGTTAGCATGTTTAGGACGCGATTCTCTCTCACTAGGTGCGAAATGTTGCTTCGTGATCGACCTGGACCAGCGCTTGGATTTATGATAGGGAGTGAAGTAGTTAAGCGTGTCGGTTACATCATTCATCTAGAGAGTCATATCAGTCTTGATGGTCTGGTGTTTGACGAAATCTGGGCACAGATTCGAAAAATTCTTTTAGCCTTGATAACTAGCATCACTTGTGGCGTAGGTGATATATCCGTCTACTAACCAAAAGACAAGTTTATTGCCTAGCAGTTCGAAAAACAATGCTAATCACATTATACTGGGCTATAAATCAATATTACGAGGGTTGGTTTAATTTAAGCGAATTGTCATTGAATATTCCCATTTAGGCATTTAAAAAAATACTTTTGAACACGTAAATGAGGGAGTTAACTTCTGTATGCCTAAGCTTTCAGTAAATCTTAGTATGAGCATCTAGGCCCATAAAGGCTAATTAATATCAGTCCTATGAAACATCTCAGCTAAATGTTCGAGGCATTACCTGCCATCTAGGGACCATTGAATGAGCAATATTAAGGATAGACACAGGGAACTTAGCAAAGATGGCAATTTAATTGATAAAGTAATTACTTCTCATAGAACTTGGTAGTCAGAACGTCTGTTACGTATGTTTAACCACCGCCTACATCAAGCGCCGATGTTAGTTGGTGTAGAAATAGTTTAGAAGAAAGCTAGAGATGATCAAATCAAGATGCGGTATCAGTCCATGAAATTACTGAATCTGAGTCATTTTATTGAATGTAAATCACCTGATTTATTCTCTGGATGGATCAAAATCCTTCACTAGCTAGTAAACCCGCTCTTCTCGATTTTGACTTTCAGTATTCATATCTTTCCACTCTGTCTGTTCAAAACATATTCTTAATGCTCATTCTTTCTGTTTATGATTGCTATTACATTATTTCAATATCTTTTGCTTCTCATCTTATTAATTCCTATCTCATTGTACTGATTCAGTATTGTAACTTGAACCAACATCCATCTGTTTAAACTCTATATGAATGATAAGTTACATCCTTGTTACTAAATCTTAGTTAAAACTAAAATAAATTTATTAAAATTAAATCTAATGCTTTATTTATTATGTTTCCATCAATACATTATATGTGAATTATAATCATACAAGGGTAATCTCTCTTTATTTGGATTTTTTTTCGTGTCTTTATTTTTTTTTAAAGTTCCGTCCCACTAAACTTTACTTCTTCAACTAAATCATGCTTTAAACAACATTGCCCAACTAGTACGGTAAGTAATCCATTATGTAATAAACAATTTATTTAAGATATTACTTATACTATTCTTATTTTTTCTATGTCTTGTCATGTTTTTATTCTTTTGGTTAATTATAGCTTTTATGTTTTGAATTTAATCTTCATTTAGAAATTGTAATTAAGTTCACTGAATGTCTCAAACTTGTTGACTATCTCAAAGATATTCTTAGTTCTTTTATGAATATCTATGCATTTTAAATTATTACAGCTTGTTATCAGAGAGTTATACAGGATAGTACAAATCTGATCATTGTATTATTATATGTTTAAATGGTTTATCTTAATTGCATAGTAGTAATATCATGTTAAACACAATTGTATTGCTTACATCTTGAAGAGCAAACAAGCATTTGAGTACAAAAGCATAAATACATTTTATTTCGTTTGGTTCTCATCACCTACTTACAACCTATGATGTTTAAAAGTCATAATTACAAAATAGTTCTAAATTACTAGCATGAAAGAGTTTTCCATGATGGTCTAGCTTCAACTAACTCATGATCTTAACCATTTAAATGAAAGAGTTTAGTTGGAACTTTCTTTGATGACACATCAGTATAGTAAGGATGTAAATAGATTTAATAGACTGAGTATTATAAATATATACCTTGTGTTAAAGAATGTTCTACAATATTGATTGTAACAAAAGATAAAAGGGTTAGAAACAAGTGGTTACGTAATGAACAAACACTGATAATAAGTAAAGCTCAATTAATTAAAATAAGATTATTAATCTAGATGACAGTCGAAATAAAAAGATGTAATGATGTAATTAGTTGAAAGAATGAGTTGTATGATGTTATGAATGAATATTTGTCACTATGGCAATGAAAAATTAACAACCATTTGCTTGTGAACATATAAATCAAGTTTCTGACGCTTGATAGCAACGACTTCAGCAAACTTCAGTAGACTAGAGCTTGATTGTTAATTAATCAAGTTGAAGGATCACAAGGTACCTGATATCCTATATCCAAGAGATGTTTAGTAATTGTCCTGTTCAAATAGTTCTTCTTAATCCAATGCTTTTAGGTGCATGTTCGAAAAATCTAAAATCTTCCCTTCTTTCTGTCATGTCAATGTTGCTGTTTTTGTAGGTATATCTATATTTGTAAACACAGTTAGCGGTAACATGAAATGGGTACTTTTATACATTTGATGATTGGGTTATTCAATATGTTGTTTTATACAGTATTAATAGTTTGATTGCTGGGTAAGTTCTTTATCCACAAGGATTTTCATAAATCTCTATGGTAAACTAATAAACAAATAACTAAATTTAGCGTTTTTTTTATTAACCTAAGTGATCCGATGTCGCATATATTATGTTTTGGGGGTATATAATTAGTTTAAATAGATAGAAGGCTATGTAATTAGGTTTCATGCTAGTCCCTCATTCGTCATTATAAAGATAATCGATTGCCTTTCGATTGAATACACACCAACTTGAAGAGTGATAGCTAACACAAAATTGATTGTCAAGGCTTCCTGTCAGTTGCTTGCCACCATTTAACATGTATTCTAATCGTATTGTATAACCTAAAAATATAAACCATTATGTACATATTATGAAATCATTTCAATATCTATTTCTTTTTCTAAACTTCTCTCATTAGAATAATGTAAACTATAGTGAAGAATTTAAAAAGTTAACAAGTCAAAATTCAAGTCTTATTGCAAAAAATACAAATTCAACATGCCTTGTCCTATCACCATGTCTTTCAAATTCATCAGAACATTCCTCTTCTTTTTTTTCATCCTCCTCATCATCATCGTCTTCTAGTGATCCTGTAAAGAGTAAATCAACTGTACAAACATCCATAACGACCAATAATAATAATAATAATAATAATAATAATAATAATAATACAGACAAACACATATCTGATAATCGATATGATTTATACTTCACTAGTGGTGCAAATTCAACTTGTCAAAATGAATTTCAATTATCATTAAATAATGATGAATTAAATGAAACTAATTCTAAACATATTAATAATTATCAATCAACCGTTAAACGTCATACTTATAATAAATCAAGACAAATCTATGTTATGCGACATGCTGAACGTGTAGATATTAGTTTTGGTCATGGATGGATTACTCAATGTTTCAATCATAAAGGTATTCTATATATTCATATTCAAATTAGTTTCATTATATTTTAATTATGGTTCTATCATGTTTGTTCTAGTACCTACTTATGCGTGTTATTCCCAATGGAGCATAAACCGCTGACCGGCATTCTCTAACCCACTCTGTCCTGGACCTTCCTTTCTAGTTCTATCCAATTGTTGTTTATTCTTCTTCCTATGTATGTCTCCACTTCTCAACGTAATTTGTTATTTGGTCTTCCTGTTCTCCTTTGGCCTTAAGGATTCTAATTGAGGGCTTGCATTGTGACGCAGTTAGATGGTCTCTTCAATATAGGTCCTATCCACTTCCTGTGCTTCTTCCTCCGCTGGAATCTGATTTGTTCTCTCCCGCATTAAGTTGTTGTTGATAGTGCTTGCCCAACGGATCTGAAATATTTTGCGTAGACAGCTATTAATAAACACTTGCATCTTCTGGATGATGGCTTCCGCACGGAGTCCCTCTGGGCTACTGCCGGTCCGAAGCCAGGACAAATGAGGAAGGTTAGCTACCCCACCCCGTAGAAAACTAACTCGCTAAAAAAACGCTAACTAGAAAAAGTAATTCAAACTGTCTAAACTCTGCCCTAGGAGTTAGAAGGCCTTCATTTACAAGAGTTATCGCGCCTCATGGTGAAAGCCGAGTTCCTTCTAAAGTCACTAGGCAACCATTAATTTAGGTACATGGAATGGTCGTACAATGTTGAAGACCAGGAGAGTCATCCGAATTACTGTAGAAATGAAAAGATACAACATGGAGGTGTTTGGAATCAGTGAAACACATTAAACGCAGATTAGACGACAAAAAGTAGCTTTGGAGGAGCTTCTGTTATACTCCGTCCGTATTTTTCTAGTATAATGTTTAGAATGGATTTCTTTGACAAACCAACAGTTAGGTACAAGCAGTAAATTTCAATTATTTTGAAGCATTATTATTTAAATCACATTATGTAACGAGATAATATTTAAAAATAGTGAAGTTTTAACGGTATTTATGATAGTGTTATAATTCTCTCTTATTACAACCCAGCTATTCCTATTGCTTAGTATTCTTGGACATCAATGCACTCGGAAAGTCCCCAAATCAGAACATGGTTGAATAGGAAAGAGACTATATTCCAAATAAAAAAGTTAAATGGAAGTAAGAAGCAAAATAGGAAAAACGTTATTTATAGTTTTTACATGCGAAGGTTTCTCGAGTGTTCTCCAAGTATCGACTAGCTTTGATTGGATAAGAACCAGCCAACCAGCGTGCGCCAAAGCAATCGTGCATTTGAGCATTCTTCAATCCAATCTGTGTCCCGCTAACAGATAGGAAATTTATTATTCGGATAACAGATACACATCAATATATACTGCTTTCAAAACCTTTTTTTGATGTCATCGATAGATCTATTTTACGGTTTGGTGAAAATAATCAGTCTTGCCTAAGTTATTTTTCTGATTAAAAATAACAAATTTGTATATCTTCACATTATCTGCAGTATTTCAATTCAATAATCCTTAGATATTAATACAATCTTCAGATTGACATTCATTTCTCAAATAATTCTAGAATCAGTTCTGTCCAGTGATTTGAGTTCAGGCCTTGTATTAAGAACGATTCTATACCTGCACTATGTGCGGAAGTGTTTAAATAGTTAGTGGAGTATCGATAAGTAGTCAGTTTCTCCACGACCTAAAAGAAATCAGACCGCCTCGTAAGCTATTTTTTCATACATATTTGCTTAATCTACGCAGTTCGTTATCTAATAATTTAGTCTTAAATGATTGTCAACCTTTACGGTAGACGTTAGTACAAGTTTCTAAAGTTCAATATACGTTATAACTGTTCAGTTATCCAGAGTTACAGGAACACCTATAAGTTGTCCGACCACGAATTCCCTTAAGGGGGAAGAGCTCAAGACAGAGTGGGTTGGAGATTCCTGATCGGTGGTCTAAGCTCCACGAGAGACATCAGGTAGTAATAGTCGAGATATTATTTATTCGTTGTAATAAATCTCTAAATAAATGTTAGGGCCTTACAGTTTTTCATTCAGTTTCTTTATGTGTCAGCTCTAAACAAAATGTCACCCGCTTAGAGGAATTTCCTTGCTAAATCTATGTAAACTCATTTTGCTAGCATTGCCTTCAGTGATTTCTCTAGTCATCCTTCTTCATCATATCTTTAATTGTTTGAGTTCTTTTCAAAAGAATCATATTTTCTTTTCTTTATAGGAGTTTATCGTAGATTCAATTTAAACCTCCCACCTTGGCTACCTACTCGGACGGATTGTTTTGAATATATTTTAGATTCACCGATTACCCAAATTGGTTTATTTGTATCAGCTGAAACTGGTCGCGCTTTGGCTGATGCTGGAGTTTACTTCACTGCATGTTATTGTTCTCCAGCATTTCGATGTGTTCAAACTGCTTGTGAATTATTGAGGGCTATGGGTCGTGTAGGTGTCTTCATGTTAGATTATTTTCATTAAAAAATGTTTTAGTTCATTATATATTTACAATATAAGCCTTATCTCGTTACGCTTTGATGTATATATTTATATATTTAATTCTTACATAATAAATATTTGGTACAGTAATCCAGTAATAGGCTAGAATCAACCTAATTAAGGCTTTATATATTGTGCGTATAATCACGTATAGCAAGAGAATGTTTGTCCTTTTACACTTTACATTATTATTAAATAGACTAGTCTAAACGTCTTAATTACATTAAATAATATCACTTTTTGTAAAGAATAGTATGAAATGTTACTTTATCCATCAATAGATAATGTCTTACCTATCATTTAATAGGTGAATAGTAATTTACATCCCGATGCTTTGGTTTGGGCACCCGGGCAGTATCACAGCCCTCACACAAATCAAATGAGATTTATGTGGTGCATATGTATCTGGTGCTCCCTTGTACCAATACTAATGTGTTCAAATCAATCAATCAGTCACGGGATCGAACCCGACACTGTTATTTTACATAATACTACACACCACTTTTGAATTTAAATAAATTATATGTTGTCTATTGAGAATATCTTATATTGTAAATTTCAATTGTACTGATTTATTAATTTACTAAAACATAAAAGGGGGCGCCAAATATTTATGCGCTACGCAAACCATTCGATTTGTGTGAGGGCTGGATTACTTCCCAGGCCCTCAAAACGAAGCAGGTGGCTTTCTTAGAAAGCCACTCTTAGAGCCTTTAACTCAGAGGTCTAATCTACAAGACAGTGGAGAAACCTTAGATGCAGTCTCATGGTAACCACTGATCAATAATGGGTTCATGCGCCAGCAGGTTCCCTCAGGATCTTAGAGCTCATGTGCACCATTGATTTAGAGTCAGGGTTTTCGAACTCCTCTAGGTGGATCCTCCATACACACCAACCCGGTAGAAGCACTAGATATTCTCTGTTCATCCTCTCGACTTCGTAAACAACCGTACGACAGAAAACAGTGATCAAGAGTTACCTGGTATTTTTGCGACTATACATATGAAACTGAGAGTATTGTGAGTTAGTCGCATTTCTCACACTCTCATTCTTATTTTGTTTAAATTTGTTGATAAATGGAATACTGAAAATTCATCTGTCTGTCCTTTTATTCTATGAAATTGTGATTTATTCATTCAAACACTTATTTTTGAATCATTTCATCCTAAGTGTGTTCTTCACTGTGTATATGGAGTCGGTTAGTATGTATAGCTCAAAAAGACAAAGAAATGAAAAAGGAGTTTGTTATTGTGATTGTGAATTATTATACATTATTTTATATAACGGATGAATTAAAATCTCTCTCTCTCTCTCTCTCTGTGGTATACCATTTTACTATGGTAATAAGACTGAACTGAGTTTATAATACCGCTAGATTGGATACTCGAATGGTACATTATAAATAGACTAGATCATGTTAAGCCAGATACACTATTCACGACGGTGAATAGAGAACCAGAGTAACACAAGGTAATAGTTTGCTCCAAACAATTACAAATAGTCACTTTCAGTGAGTCTGAAGTAGAAATCAATAAGAGGAAAGAAAATTACATATTTTAGTGGTCAGTAAGTTGAGTGTTTGTTTATACACACTCAGTGACTGATCACATTTCCTCTTAATACAACACATCACTATTACAGTGTGAGTTTATATACTTTAATTCGATGTGAAACTCAAAATAATAAACAATTCATTCAGGATTTAAAACTTTTTTATTTCCCATTCAAATATAAGTCACTTTGTGAATATCTTGTATTTTTATCATTATTTTAACACATAGATATTGGTACAGGGAGGCGCCAAATACATATGCGCCACACAAACCTCATTTGGTATGTATGAGCGCTGTGATACTGCCCGGGTGCCCAAACCGAAGCAAGTGGTTTTCTTAGAGGGCCTTACCCCGAGCCTTCGACCTATAGGTCTAATCCGCAAGGTAGTGGAGCACTGTAAGGAGATGCAGTTCCGTGGTAGCCGGCGACCAACGATTGGTTCATACGCCATTTGTTCCCTCAGGATACTGGAGCCCATGTGCACCATTGATTTGGGATCCGGTTAAAGTGCTGGACATTCGCTTTTCATCCTGTCATTTTCGTAAATAATACCAGTGGTGCAAGAAGGCAGTGAGTAGGACTCCTCTGGCATAGGCCATGTGAGAGCATTTCGAGAGGGTGGGCGGACTCTCCCCACTCTCTGCCTTACCAGGTCATTTGTATTCATCTTTGTGATTCAACAATTCATGTTTATAAACGTTTACGCTTATGTATTTGATCTTTTTTCATTGATTTAATTTTTTTATAACTTTATAGTCGGATTTATCAATTCGTATAGAACCACATTTATTCGAATGGTATGGTTGGTATGTTGGTGGTTGTACACCAAAAATGATGACTGTACATCAATTAAAACATGCTGGTTATAATGTAGATACAAATTATACACCACTCAGTTCATATAATGATAATGATAAATATGAATCTATTCAAGGCTATTGTGATCGTACTGCTGTGTTAATTAAGCGTATTTTAAATGTTCATAAGTCGAAAGGTATGTTTTTTGTTTTTAATATTTTTTTAAAGTGTATTTTTATGTATATATGAACTAGGCTAAATTACCTTCTACATAACACATATCTGTTCGTTTCCAAGGTATATGTATTAAAAAGGATTACATATTGTTAGATTTATATTATTATAATATTTCAACTTTAGTGGTAAGAACATGTGAATTCAATCAGTCGATTATGGTAAACTTGATAGTATGACTTAAAGAAATGTAAATAATATTAGGCATATTAAACAAAGTAGTGAAATTCGGTTTATTACTGATTCTATATACAATTATTTCAAAACTAGATTGAACATATTTGTCTTTCGAACCAGTGATATGTCTTCATTTTTTTTATATGATTGATATGCATGAATGCTATTACGAGTTCACCTTACTTGGTAAACGGAACAAAGATCAAAGATACAGTGACACCATAGCTTATTCTAATCCGTTGTCCCCGGCCCTGCTAACTAGATCAAGAAGTCTTGATGAGGCTTAGTGAATATATTCTAGAACCACCCAGAAAATACGAGGACACTAAGCACACAAATCAAGCTCATTTATACAATGATAGAAATGCCCTTGGGAGAGCCACAAAATAGCTTGCTAAAAAATCCGTCAACCAATGACAGTCAAGGATTTCTGAGTGGAAAATGTAAGCGAAAACATAAAATTCAAATTTTCAGAAAAAATTACAAAATTCGAACCTTTTCCAAGTGAGTTCTGGGGATCTAACCTTCTCAACAATTATTTAGTCTACTTTAAAATAATCCTTTCCAGAAATCACTGATATGCAAATATAATTTGAAAAAAACTACTGGAGATCAAAAAAGCGTTGTACAGTCAGTCCGTCTTATTTCAGAACTTTTCATCGATCAACTTACATAACCGCTAGTTAAGCCAAAACGTATCGTCAGTCATCGAAGTCACTAACTTCTGGTCTGAGTCATGTTGGTAAATGCAGATTACTTGGTTGCGGTCCGCGTGACTATCGTAACCAATGGTTGGAGACTGTGTGAAAGAGCTCAAAAACTATGGCAATGGCGTAGGTGTATACACTCACTGTCTTCCCTTCAAACCGTGAGATTGTAATTACTTTCTACCTTTCTTTCTACCTACTAGTTTTTTCTCCCTGTATGATATCCTTATAATCAATCTTTGTTTTATATATTACTATCATTGAAGTAACTACTTCTATAAATTTGTTCATGTTGTTGTGCTAATAAGGTATGGCAACTTGGATCGATGCATATATTTGCCCGATCCTACAGCGTAACTCAGGACCTATACATTTCTCAAGGAACATGATTTGTCCACTAAGTTGTAGTTCAGTATTGCGTATTCTGAGCTTTTCATATAGCAATAATTTCAATTTCTCAATAACTCCAGGAGAAAAATAACACAACTTACTGTGTTCGTTCTCAGAATAGTGAAAATTTATGATGACAATTTAATTAAGCTGTGAGTTTACACATCTTTTTTCTTTCAGAAATATATTGAATAAGAAGATAGTTACTTATTTAGACCTATTACTCCCAATGGAGCATAGGCCGCTGGCCAGCATTTTCTAACCCACTCTGTCCTAGACCTTCCTTTCCAGTTCTATCCAATTGTTGTTCATGCTTCTCATATCTGTCTCCATTTCTCGACGTAATGTGTTCTTTGGTCTTCTTCTTCTCCTTTTGCCTTAAGGATTCTAAGTGAGTACTTGCCTTGTGACACAGTTGGGTGCTTTCCTCAATGTGTGTCCTATACACTTCCAGTGCTTCTTCCTCCACTGAGATCTGATTTGTTCTCTCCCATAGTAGGTTGTTGCTGATAGTGTAGTGTCTGGCCAACGGATTCGAAGTATTTTGCCTAAACACCTGTATCTTCTGGTGATGGCTTCGTAGTTCTCCAGGTTTCCGCTCCGTACAGTAGAACTGCCTTGTCATGATAATTGATTCTTGCACTAAACTTTAAGTATGGTTTATTAATCAATCCTCTTTTTTAAGCGTTGGTTTCAGTAGTTTGAACATCAAGTTATTAAAGGTTCAATTGTAAAATAATAACACAACTGAGTACAAAAGCTTATTCATGTCTCATCAATACAACTTTTAGCATTCTTGATTGAGATCATGAACCGATTGATGATGTTAGACCACCATTGAGAACTTGGAAGCACTGAACAGCTGTTTCGTCCTATTGTGCGAATCCTCAGCAACTAATCCGTATCGAATAGAAACAGGTATGTACCTCAGTACAATAGAAGATGGTCGCGCAACTTCGTGGATTGGTTGAGGTCGGACAGTGATCCAGTAGGTTAAGCGTTCGTGCCCTGGGTTCGAATCCCGCGGAAGGGATCGTGTATGCGTACTGCTGAGGAGTCCCACAACAGGACGAAACGGTCATCCAGTGCTTCCAAGTTTTCAATGGTGGTCTAACATCAATCAGTTCATGATCTCAATCAAAAACTTGACAATCTCCACAACCCCTAAACTGATAATTATAGCATTCTATTCTAATTTTAATCTTTTTTTCCCCTTTTCAGATACTTGTTTATTAATTGTAGCCCATGCATCATCATTAGATACTTGTACACGTCATTTAGTATGTCATAGTTTTAGAAATAATTTATCATCAGATGAATTTCATCATCGTACATCAATTGTACCATATTGTGGTTTATTATTAGCTCAAGAAAATCGTCGATGGAATTTAATTAATCCACCAATACCAAATTCATGTTCATATACAAGAAATATTGATTTTGATTGGAAACAATTACTTGGACCATCATTATGCAATTTTAAAATACGATAAATAAAATTAATGATAGAATTGGATTCTTTTATTCATTCATTCACAATTTGGCATTTAATTCAATTTTTTGTTTATTTCAAATTCTTACATATCGTTTTTCTTTTTTTTTTTGTTTTTTTTGTTTGTTTTCAATTTGAATACAGCTTCACATCTGTGTTGTTATTTTCTTTTTCTTTTCTTTTTGTTGTTGTTGTTTTTATCGTTGCATTTATTAATTCTTTTGGTGTATCTTTTAGTTTTTCATTGTTTTCAACGATATATAGATCCTAATTAATACCTTGGAAGTGAAGATTAAATATAAGTAACATTCTGTGTATACAATTGACATTATTATTATTATTATTATTATTATTATTATTATTATTATTATTTGTTTACTGGATCTGTATAAATCTGATTGTTTATTTTCAGAATATGGTTCAAGGAATTGATTTCAAGTTTACAATGTATAGCATATATTTCATTACATTAAAATGGGTTTACAGTCATAATTATATAATTTATAATGAATGTTTCTATGGTATTTGACAAATTCATTTCGAGAAAAGAATATATATCTATTTAATAATCTATGTTTAAAATAACCGCTCATTACGATTGTTCAAAAATCAATTTTATTCCGGGTATTTAAAAAACAAAACAAACTGTTAAACTGATGTTATTGAATGGAAAGAAGGATCAATATTAAGAGACTAATATATTGAAGGAAAAATATTCTTTCGGATCAATTCTTTTCAGATTCTACAATTCATATATATATATATCTAAATGAATAATCTCCAAAGAATGATCAGGTTAGGGGGAGAAAAGTACATCGTTTAAAGTATGTGAATTTGTTAATGATGATATTAATTCGGATAGAATATTAACTTAAATCTGCATGTATGTGAAGTGACAATTTGAAGATGTATAATCAGAATAAATATTGGATCAGATAGGATGAGAGAAATAATAGTGAAATTATAATTCGATCAAATGTTTATTGGAAGGTTATAGGTTGTAATTTGCCCTGAACCTGATCATTTTTTTGGGGGGATTATTTATCTGGATATACATGAATTGTAGAATCTGAAGAGAATTTATTGAAAAGAATATTTTTCGTTCAATATATTAGTCTTTTAATATAATTATGATCTTTAAGGGTGGTATAACTTTTCTTTTCATGCTTATTAGTTAATCATTTGAATGTATATGCAAATTCTTAACGTGTTATATTTCTATTCTCTTTCTTTTCAATCTATTCCAGATTCATTTCTACTCTTGTTCCCCCTTGATTTATTATCAGCGTATGTAAAATAACACAAAATATTTCCTTTTTTTTTCTTATTGGTTAAGATGTAAATTGTTGTATATTCCATAAATGAATGGATTGTATTCTTTTAATGAATAAGTCAATAAATCCAGTTTTACCATAATTCTCTCCTTGTGTTTTATTTTTTTTTTGTCAACTGTTTATCTGTGTTCCTTTTAATTTTTTTTTTGTTGTTGTTTTTAGTTGTCCTATGTTTGATCATTATCATTAGATCTTTGAAGTTCTGTAGTTTATCATATCTGTTTTTATTACAGATACGTTCATGGATTGTTTTTCACTTATGTTGTTGCATATCTATATCGTAGTTTCTTGATTTTGTTATGCGTTGTTATATTTTCATTTTATTTTGTTATATGAATGATACAGAAATTTAAAGTGTATCATCAAAATTTCCCTACCGATCATTTTATAATTTATTCTTGTTAGAAAGCGCTGGTGATCTATATTCTATGCCAATAGTTGTAAAGTATTCATCTTGATTAGCAGAAGGCTGTCGTTATTAAATAAACAATCTAGATGAATTAATCAATACAACTCCTTTCCTGTATTACTCTCTATCACATATAGTGTTAACTTCAAATAACTCTACTAGTTACACTAGGTAATATGGCAATACGATAACAAGCTTACCTATTACTAAACTACTTTAGTATCCACGTATGCTTGTTTAACGTCAGTGGCAATAAAGTATTTGAATAAGTATTCTTAACACAATATAGACGAACTTCGACTTCAAATCAGAACACTAATTCTGATTCCAAAAAGTTTTGTTTATACATTTTGACTTCATCTAGATTGTTTTGGAAGTTGATCGACCTGGAGACTTATGATCGTTAGAAACAAGCTAGAGTCCAGTTGTATATTAGCATCATTGTTATGATCCTTTGAACCAGATAGCACAAGATAGAAGTCGTGTATGTATACTAACGGTAGTTTTTTCTCGGTATGCTATTCTCCTGGAAGCGGAGCAATTATTATTATCTGCGGCTGAATGAATAACTGTTGAGACTTGACATAAAAAATGGCGATTGACTAACGTGCAAATTGAGACCTGTAGAACTCCAATATGTAGTTGATACAGAACAGATATTCTAATCGAAATGTATCGTTATTCGACAACAAAACCAAGCAATCAACTACATTAAATGGTCCTGAAATGTGTAGAGGGGTGGTAAATTGACTACATAAATGGTCATACAACTGTGAAAAAGAATGTGAGTAAAGTTTCATACGTGTAGCGCACGATTCAGGACAAACCATCCTTGAACATTATATAGATGGTTATAAAAATGTATGAGTACAAAGTAAAGAATTTATGCTGCCCATATAGAATATAAGTAGGCAAAATAAAATTCTGAGTAGTAGAGGAGATAGAAATAACTAGGCAAATATCAGTAAAACAATAACTGGTCTTTGTTCCCTAACAAAGCCATCCTAAAAATTGAATGAAGCGACGAGTATGAGCGCGCAGGCAAATACGTATTTAAGTATTGTTATATTCTTTGTGTTTATATCCGATGAATGAGGACAAACGGAATGAGCGAAAATTAGAGTACGAATGTCCCTAAATATATATTTCAGTGTTTGAAATTTTGAGCATACAGAATAGTAACATATAACCAGAGGATTATAGGACTTAATGGACCCAATTGAATTGAAATAATAATAGTACTGCAATAATATCACGGTGAGATTTTTTTGTTTCTATTGACATTGGCACCAAAACTTACCAGCAAGTATATTAGAATAGGAATGAAACTGAGAATAGAAAGTCCAGTAACTGCGTTATAGTAAAAGAAATCCAGTACTGCGTTAGACCGTCCTAATGTCAATTGCATTGTAATGAATATGAACTGTCCAGAACGTTGTCTAGTCATCGTATCTCGAATATTTATTAAGAAGTATAATGAAATTAAGGGATAGAAAGACACATCTAAACAAGGGGATATCGATAGTAAGTAAATGTAAGTCATTCGGGTTGTTTACATAATAGAGCATAATATAACGGTTACATTTAAACTGTCATATACTCATTCAGATATCATATTTCAAAATAAATACGCAACTATGCGGATTTGATATTTCTTTATTAAACACCAGATCGGATCAATCATAAAACATTCTGAGCATCTGAAGCTTCTCCATTAGCCCTTCGAAGATTACTGCCAGTCCCAACCCCGGGTAATGGAGAGTGGTTGTGCTTGAAGTATATAACCCTATCCCGTGGAAAAAAACATGAAGAAACTTTAACGGGAACAGACATTTTAGACCATCTAGAACAAGTTCTGTGATTTGAAAAGTCTTCATTCATGTCACTACACCTTGTAAGCTGAGACTCCAAAGTAATCACGAGGTTGACCCTTCTTCGAAGAAACTAACAGGAAAATATACCGTAAACTAGAGACACCCGTCAAGGACAAAAAAGGCAAGTCAATCACTGAGATTTAAGAACAGAGGAACAGATGAGTAAAACATTTTAAGGAACTCTTGAATAGATCAGCTCCACTGAGTTCCCTGGAAAAGGAAGTAGAATTTACGAACCTTACTATGAATGTCACTCCACCAACAATCGGAGAAATCCGGATGGCCATCAGACAAACCAAGAGCGTGAAATCAGTCGAACCTATTAATCTAGCAGCTGATGTACTGAAGTCAGACATAGAAGTGACTGTAACAATGCTCCACGTTCTATTCAAGAAAATATAAAGGTAATAAAAATGTCAACAGGCTGGACTGAGGTATTAAAATACTGTCAGTACCAGAAGTTTTGTGCATAGTGTTGCTGAACTGAACGAAAGATTCTGAAGACGACTAAGTCATGCACAAACCAATTGGTTTGCACGATTTAAATCGTGATCCTGTGGGTCATTGTTGAACAAGCAGTGGGATAGAACTGGTCACAACCACCCATCGTACGTAACCAAATACGCGTAACTGTCTCAAAACAACAAGAAGTAGGCAGAAACAAATCAAAAGTCTTATTTAAGCTCGTGACAAAGATGTTGGATATGTTGGTTATTAGTGCAAAAGCGCACATTGTAAATAGGTGTGCTACTAGGAAATGAATGTGAGTTGTATGGTATCTGTGTTGTTCCTACAACTATAAAGTAGATAGAACACTCAGTACCAACAAATTAGCTAAATGTTTTTTCAAAGGTTCACACCACTCAGTAGCCTTGGCGTGTTATCATCTCCCAAATATACATAGCATAAGTGTATATATATATATATGTACTTCATGAGCACAGACATGTAGAATTTTAAAAAAAAACATCATAGGTTAGTGGTAGAAGGGATTATAAATGCAAAATATTATTCTAAAAAACCTACTGCTCAGTGGGGGTAAAAATATAGTGTTCTGGCCATATCACCAACTACACTTACGTGAATACCTTCTGAAATGTAGTACAAACAGTAAAACGGGAATCAAGAATATATATTATATATGTATATATATCTTTGGTGCCGTTGTGTAGTTAGTCTGGATGTAAAATTCCATGTTTACAAAGCTTCGCTGTAAGCATTTCTTTGTTCTTGTAAAACTTGATCCCTTAAAGTTGGAGATGTTAGAAAATTCTATGTTTGATGATCGTTGTCTCCGAAGGATGACTGACATTCAGTGATCATTGCTTTGTCATTTCATTCTTCATAAGTGTGATGAAACTTTAACTGAAAGAATTCTACTGAACTGCCTCTCGTATCATATATTGTTCATGTTGATTTTTTGACTTATTTTTTCCCGTAAAAGGTGTTTCTGTTTCCTCATAACGTTTCTTTTATTTTGTGTCGTGTATTTTATTCTTGGTGCCTTATTTTATTATGTATCAAATGAAATGAAATAAATCACCTGGTCGTAACAATCATTACACGATGTCACGCTATCATAAGTTTCTACACTTCATGCCTTATCAACTTAAGTGATCATTTTGAATCAAATAAGCTAGTCCTTAGTATCGTAGTTTAAAAATAACCTACAAACCGTAAGAAGCCGACGACTTTTCAATAAGCTCTCAAACATTTTGGGTCTCTCTCCAAACAAGGAACCTACAATTCTTGTGTATCTTAAATTCACCCTACTCACACCCGTATAAGTAGAACCGCCTTTGTACTTACTAACCGATAGCTTTATATATTACTGTGAACCAGTAATGGTAAGCATCCTGTGTGAGTGTTTTGTACGAATCTTACAATATTCCTGAATTTAACGTCAGATGTTACTCTGGATCGGCATATGTTTGTAGTTCGGTTGTTTTATGAATGAAGTATACTAAAGTGAAGTATTTATATATTGACTTAAAAAAAACTTGTTCACAAATATCTTTCTAAGTGTCACCCTACTGCAAAGCACGGTTTAGATGAATGCTTTTGCTAATACATGATAAATATATCTTATATCCCATTTCCCATATACGGTGATAAATATGGGCGTAGACATTCGCTTTTCGTCCTCTCATTTTCGTAAACAACACCCGTGGTGTGAGAAGGCAGTGAGTAGGTCCTCCCTGGCAGATTCTATATACGCGAGGCCATGTGAGAGCATTTCACGAGGGAGAGAGGACTCTCCCCACTCTCGACCGTAACAGGGCATTCGGAGGTATATATTCAAAAAGTAAATAATACTTGACGACAACTGTAAAGACAAGTCCATGATAGATTTGTTTGAAAATTCCTGTTTGGAGGCCTGTCCTCAACAAGGGGTAACAGGCATAAGTAAGTTTATTTATGTTAAATGATCTTTCGCATTCTTTTCATTACTACTGACACGGTTAGCACTACTACTCTAAGATTTGTTTTGATAATTTTTTCTAGTTCTGGTAATGTGATATGCGAACTTGAATGAACCCACATATGTTCTTTATTTTCGAAATCACTAATTACCGATAATTTGATTTTTTTTACCTTTATCACAGGAACTTGAACAGTTGGAATACTTTTGCAGAGAACTATATACAACTAGTGATCCGGAAATCCGTAGTCAAGCAGAAAAAGCTTGTTCTTCCTTATGTGAACGGGCTGATTGTCCTTCTATATGCCAGTTACTTTTACAGCATTCAACTGTAAATATTTCATTATCATTGCTTTTAATTTGTCTAGTCATGCTACTCACAGCTTATCGCTTCTACGGCTTTGACTAAATATATTTCCAATCGAGATGCTATAATTTCACATGCATCACGTTTAGCTATTCGTGAGTTTTTTTTTTACTCCATTCCTCTTATGTGTTTCTTAAACAGGAGATTTTGCTTTAAATTATCTAGCTGCGCATGCTGGATTGGAAAAATTTGTACAACAAGCCTTAATCACACTTATTTGTCGGCTAACAAAGTTGGGATGGCTAGATTCAGTAGACGGTAGTCCTGGATTTTGTGATATTTTGGACTGTGCGTCAAAGTTTATTGAGGTAAGTAAACCTTTTTAAGCTGCGAACATAAATTTAAAACACTTAGCATTTAATACTAGCGGAAAGTTGTTTAATTCGAACTAGCGTTCTTTTTGAAACGGTTACTAGTGTTTGATTAACAGATTTAGTAGTTATCTCAGCAGTGCACACATACGACTCAATTAGGACTCAGTTACAGAACCTGAGGTTTCTGAGTAATTACTTGATTTCAAAAGCATTCAGTAGTGATGGTGTAAAGTAATATTTAGATCGAAGCTATTATCATGGCGCGACGGTGGGGTCCTGTCTGTCGTGAAGAACTAGTCGAGCTACCAAACAACC